TGCCAGTCCTTTGCTGTTAATTGATGCTGCAGTATTAATTCTACCCCTCTTAAGACTCTCATTACAAATTTATTAAAATCATCACAAGTTTTAAGAAAAGATTCAACCTCTAGCACTATCACATGCTCATCTTTTATGGTTTGATGATATATACCCCTACAAGGTTCTCTTTCAATTTTAAGAGTCACTGGTGCTTGTGGCAGTACAGTTTGTCTAGGTGACTGCCTGTGGACTCACCCATGGTTGTGTTTGCATGGTCTCATTTGTAGGAAGTCCAGTAAGGTTTATATTGAAAAGTAACAGAAATGCCAGGAATTTTTCATTTCGATGTTGAGCTAACCGGTTTTGCAAATTAGTTACCTCAATTACTTTATTCCCTTCCTGTTCAGTATCTTCACAGTTCTTATCTTTAGCTAAGAAGGTAGCAGCAGCAACAGCCGCCGCCTGTACCCTAAAAGCATTTTTTTTCCTTGTAGAGCAACTTTTTCCTCCTCTAGTATTCCGATTCAGCTCAACAAGTTGACATTTTGTCTGTGGAAGATGCCAATCCCTAGACAAGACCTTGTACTATAAAAGACTTTTCCTTTTGCTGTCTTTACCTTTCCTGTTCAGTACCACACTCCTTAACACATTTCCAATGCAATCCCAATTTTGCTCCACGACTTCCTGGAATAACTGAATAATCCCCCGTTATCCTGGAATCACCTAAGACATTCAGATACATTATGGTACTCGAACCCAACTATACTGTGTTTAGGCTACAAGCATTTTTTGTTAGGTCACACCCCCTAAACAAAAAGTGGTTTATTTTGGTCACACTCCTTGATAGAGAAGAGCAGTCACTGACTTACATATCTTCTAACAACCCATGGGAATTCCCCAAAGACCCCAAACTGCCTGGCCACGTGGATATACCACCGAGTCACTCTTTACCTGGGTCACAGCACCAAAACGTTGCTGCCTCCAAGAACCTCCTGTTGCAATATAGTTCAAATAAACATGCAGCAGCTACTCCGTAAGAACCTTGTGCAGCCTTTATTCAAACGATCAGCTAGGTGACCAGACTGGCTAACAGCGGGGATAGTGCAGGAATAAACATATATCCAAAGGGCATTTCCATTCCACTCTTTTTATACATTAGAAACACTTACTTCAAGCCTACATCATTTACACACACAATCACACTGGTGCCATGCAACTTACAATTTGCCAAATGCTAAATGTATTTAATTCCTATTTACCAGGTTTTGGTTGTACCATCCTACATGCTTTTCTTATTTCCTATGGCAGGTTGCACCAATTCTCTCCATCCCACGATGTTCTTGATCAGATTCCAAATGTTTTGATGCATCCCTGTGCTTTCTACAGAATTTTATAGACTTGCAGATTTTAATTCTTACTGCTCCTTGCCCTTAATCCTGGTTCCCTACAGCCACAAAGAAAAATCTCCATCCTCAACATCATTGCCCTTCAGGTATTTCATATGATCATAGGAAAGTAGAGCTGGCAGGTACCTCGTAAGGTCATCTACTCCAATGCCCTGCTCAGGGCAAGATCCTCATTGATTAAATTATCCCAGCCATGTGTCTGTCTAACCTGTTCCTGAAGACTCAAATCCCACCCCCTCAAGTCTTCTCTTTTCCAGACTAAATAATCATACTACTTTGAGCCTTTCCTCATTTATCTCTAATAATTTTTGCTGCTCTCTGTGGGACTCTTTCCAATCTATTCACAACTTTCTTAAAATATGGGACTCAAAACACTACTCCAGGTGAGGCCTCACCAGTGACAAATAAAGCAGAAGAATCACATCCTTGATTTGCAAGACACACTCCTATTATACAAGCCTGTATGCTGCACACTGTTGGCTTATAATTTCATTTTACAGTCCGCTGCAACGCTAGGGTCCTTCTCTGCAGTACCCAGTCTGTATTTGTGTATACAATAATTCTGTCCCAAGTGCAGGACTATGGACCTGTCCTTGATGAAATTCATCCGATTGATTTTGGATGATTTTGACAATTTAGCTAGGTCATTCTGGATCCTACCCTCATTCTCCAGTTACAACTCCACCCAACCTGGGAGTCGCCTGCAAATTTCATGTGTGCATTCAATCCCATTGTCCAACTCATTAATGAAAATGTTGAATAATCCTGGACCTAGGACAGACCCCTGGGGAATCCCACTTGATACTTCATCCCCACCTGACACTGAGCCATTGATGACTACTTGTTGAGCACGATGATCCAACCAGGTATGTATTCACCTACAGTACTTTTGTCTAGCCTGTATTCCCTTAGCTTGTTAATGAGAATGCTGTGGGAGACTATATCAAAAGTCTTGCTAAAACATCAAGATCTCATATCCACTGCCCTCCCCCAAGTTTACCTTATCAGAGCAGGAAATCAGCTTGGTCAAGAATGACTTGCTCTTTGCAAATCCATTGCTGGCTGTTCCTGATCACCTTGTACTCTTCTGGATGCTTCACATTATATTCTTTGAGGAACAACTCCTTGATCTTTCCAGGTATCAAGGTCAAACCAACTGGTCTGTAATTACCTGGATCCTTCTTTTACCCTTCCTTAAAAATGGCCACGATTATGTACTCTTTTCCAATCATTTGGGACCACACCCGACTTCCATGAGCTCTCAAAGGAGACCTTTGAAGTCAATAGCTTTGAAATTACTTCAGCCAATTACTTTGTACCCTACAGTGTGCCTTATTTGACCCTGCCTACTTGACAACATATAGCTTCTCCAAGTAATGTCTAACCAGTTCTTACACTACTCTAGACATATTTAAAACCAATATGCTTAAATCAAGAGAAGAAAGGTAATATAGGGAGCTTAAGTAATGAAAAAGGCTAACAAAAACAAGCTCTTAAAATTTAGATGCACTTCTCTCAAACCTATCATGATTTACTGCATTATGGCCATAGAGACTAGGGTTCTTACGGGTCAGGATTCACAAGTGAAATATTGTGGTCTCATCTCATATCCTAGTACAATGGTTCCACACAGTAGGTACATTACAATTTGATATTAGCTAATTATTCAAGAGAGGTCTAAGACGGAAACTGAAAGCGAATTTCACAGGTCAGAACTAAGATGAACTGGCAGAGCTCGATTTTGAATTTTAGCAGAGCAGTTATCCAAACCTTATGCAACTACTCTGCTAGACCCTTGTTTAATATAAATATAACATCTTTTTTTAAAGACAGAAACAGGGGAGAGCAAAAGAGTGTGAAAGTTATGTTTAAAAAGTATAGCTAGTATTTGTAACAGAACCAGGCAACAATTTAAGGTACCAAGTAAAGTTTTTCCCGGATAGAAACACTTTGCCCCCAGCCAACAGTAAAATAAGTCATCTCTAGTCTTAAAGTTTTCAAATCAAGCAATTCCTCCACAAGGATGTACTAAGAATGGATTTTAAGTTCAGTAAAAGTACTTCAGCATGAGAAATAATAGGGCTGAATTTAAAAAGACTTGTATGTATTTTGATTCAGAGAGGAGGACTTAGACTTAATTAGGCATCACAGGAAAAAACACTGCTGCAACAGTTGATGAATTAAGAGGGAATTCATTGGTTTATAAAAAAAAAAAAAAAGGGGAAAAAAAAAAAGACAGTTTCCAGTAACAAAACTGGTACCAGCAAATTACTGACTAAAGCCTGGAGTTCACTGGCTTTGCAAACTAAAAGACATGCCACCAGCAATAACTCATTTACATTTGATCTTATCATAACCTCTGTACTCAAGTTTTTTTTTTAAGGGGGAAAGTCACATTAATTTATCCATTAAAAATGTAACCTAAATAGAATTGTTCTAACTTGTACATGGCATATGACCGCATTAAACTGTTTAATCTCTTAATTTATAAACCCGACTGAGCAGGGTATGTCATTTGTTGAGATACAATCATGTCTGGCACAACCCACTGCATATGACCCATTTCCTTTTTAGGTGCCCCTGAAAATAAAACAAATTTTATTATTTCTTTAGGATTTAACAGGTAAGGAAAATACCTTCAACCAGTTCTGATTATACAATCTCCCTTATCCTCAAAGGCTTATTGCAGCAAGAACTACAAAAAAGCAATGAAAAGATGATGTAAAATAGTGGGCTAATTCTGGAGACCCAGATATACATAAGTATTCAAATAAAGTAAGAAATAAGTCACAGCATAATTCAATTTAATATAAAAAACAAGACTATAAAATACAATATATTCTTAACAGAAAACAAACCAAGCCAACAGTAACTGAAACTAGGAGCCCCTTTCATTGTAGAAAATCTGGAACAATCGAGAAAAGAAAATGGAACTTGTAGAAACATGGTCATTACAGGTGAAAAGCTCTTTATATTTCAAGAGAAATGGATCACAGACTAGAAGTTTTCTTAATGCCTGACAAGAAATAGTTAACTACACGGAATGGTTATAACAGCACAGAAGTCATGAATGTATGAATACACTCTCCAACATAATTGAAACAAAAAAATTCAAGACTGAATTCTTAACACTTGTAGAAGCTCTAGATAAAACACAGAAAACTCAAACTGTTAAGAAATATATTAGTTTTAACCTGACAAAAATTAAAATTTAACCTACTTTAAAGAAAAACATAATTCAAGCAGACAGCAAGTACTGTTATCTATCCTCTTTGCATTCTAAGTTCCATTTTACAGTTGTTTGAAAGTTTCTTGTTGAGCTTGAACAATGTACCAATTTTATAACAATATATTTTTTCTCTTGCAAAGTTCATAATCTTTCCTTTTATCCCTCCCTCCACAAATTTATTGTCATATCACACTTACGAAATTGGCCTGCTGCAGCCAGGATAGAAGGTTTTGCAGTACTGGTACCAATTTAAACACTTCAGTCTGCAACTGAGTTGTTCCCAATACTGAAAATGTGAAGCTAAACTAACCTAAACTATAAGCTTTTTAGAAAAGTTCCACAACTTCAGGCAACATTTGAAGTAAAATGTAAGACATTTATACCTGATTGTGCTTCACTAAATGGAGCCCAAAAAGGCCCAGGTCCAGCAAGAGGTCGTTCATTATTTCCTCCGCTGGGGTGGCGGTTGTGCTTCCTCCATGTATGTGGAGATGTTGGTGGGGATTGCTGTGGTGAAACAACTGGAGATGTGGACTCCTGTTAAAATAAAGGAACTTTTAAAAAATGTTGTACTGTGATGTAAATAATAAAAATACAATCATTATTTCTTATTTAAAAAAGTTTGTTTAGTAGTTAAAACACTCTTCTTGGAATAAAGAAGAATGTAATACTTAAAATGAGGAAACAGCAGAAGTCAGGCACAATACAACGGACATTGAACATAGTTTCCCCACCCAAAAGTGTTCACTCCTGGATCCCACTATTCTTGCAGTACAACAATGTGCCTTGTTACAATCATTTTACAAGTATACAACCACTATGGAAAGCCAGATCATGAAGTTCATTTACATTCGTAATAAAAGTTGTACTTGAACCTAGGTCTCAAAAGCTGAAATGTTATTTACTATGTACATATAATCCACCTAAAACTTGCTTAGCGTTTTATCTTCATTTACCATTTCAAAAGTACATTAACATTTCAAGTTAATAAGCTCACCCAAATTTAATTTTTTTTTTTTTTTAAATACAAATATTCAGATGCAACTGTTTCCAACAAAAAAAAGAATAACTCAGGACGTGAACACAGTTCACTGAACAAGCCCTGTGGAAGCCTGAAAACAACACTAAAAAGCATGCCTCAGACAGCTGCTCCTGCTCAACACAGGACATAACTAAGAGATCAAACAAAGTCAAGTTTACCACAGTCCTGAGTAGGCACCCAGAGGTGTTCTGAGAGAATTCTTGGTGCATGTTTAAACCCAAGCTAAACCAGCTTCACTGCCTTATTTCTAGGCCTTGGATTCATAATGAACAGAAGCAGCAAATAATAATGCTTCCAGTGGTGCTCCAGGGTTTAATTAAAAAAGACAGTGTGGACCTGTCCTTAGTAGCTCTATAATCTGAATTTTTGTGAAGAGAAAGTTCAGCGTCCAGGGCATAAGCATGCTCAAAGCTTGGACTGCTCTGAACAATGACAGGACTACTGTGTATTCATTACCTGAAGTCAGTTCTTCACAGACACTTAGGGCGCTGCCAAACATGGGGGAAGGGCGCTTTACCAGTTTGATGCAGCTCTGAACCATCTGTATAGGTTGGGTGCTTTAGTGGGGCTTTTATCTAATAGCTGATTCAATCAGCTATTAGATAAAAGCACCAAAAAAGCCCCACTAAATTGCCCGATCTATGCAGACACTGGGTGAGTCAGGTCCAACTAATGCGATGTCTCCTCTGGGCATGAGCTGGGCTCAGTGTAGCAGCACACCAAGTTTAAAGTAAAGCACAGGAGCACGCAGTATTATGTAAAACATTTAACAGGCCCTCTCTACAATGCCTTTTGTTGACCACCCTTTATCTAGGAGAAGCTATGCCTAATGCCTATGCTCTTACTATGGATATTTCCCATGCTTTGGGGCTTTGTTGATAGCTACTTGGGGCTGGGAAGGAATCCCTGCCCCCCATTGCTACATGTTAGGGTGAGGGGGAGCATTCACCTTCCCCAGAAGTGTTGGGGGTTGGTTACAGCCTACGCTTGGGATTTTGACTGGGGTGTACCAATGCTCCTGCTGAGACTCCAACCCAAAGATTCCTAGCTAAAAGGACTTACCCATCCACTCAGGGTTAGACTGATTACCATACCTGAGGTCAGGGAAGAATTTTTACCCATGCTGGTATAGACAGTGGGAGTTTTTGCCTTCCCCTGTAGCTTGGGACATGGCCCTCTTCTTCCTTGGGCCTTAAAAGTGTATTTTAACCACCCTCACAGCAGCACAACATTGGCTGCCACTGCTCCCCTGCCACACTTACAGCATGTTAAGGTGTTACACCTGGTGGCTATCAGGTTTGACTCTGTAGTTCTACTAACAAGTTAAAAGATGGATTTGTATCCAGTGGTTTAGATGGGGATGGTCCTGCCTCTGGGGGGTCCCTTCCATGCTCTGTTTTTCTATGATTCTAACTTCTACTAGCCAGACTGACAAGCTGAGACACAAGGAATTTAGTTCTCTGGGAAACAGTCCTGCTACAAGGAATAACACATTTCATCATAAAATGTAAAGAGAGATGTCTATAGCAACCTAATTTTTAAAAAATTTTTCCAAGCATCTTCTACTATGTGATTTACTTATAGGTATAATATACAAAGGCAGAGATTGTCAGAAGCATATAGAACTAATATAGGAAATTAAATAAAAAACATTTAGTCACATTCTAAAGCCTTCTGTTAATTTTACTACTACTTACAGCACTGAACATCTCAGAAACTCCTTGCAATCCAAGTCTGGTGCACTAGTTCACAGACTTCAGAATCACTGAAAAGCAGCAGAAAATATACGTGCTTCCTATTCCCACCCAATTTTAACGTAAAATAGTGGTTGCAAGGAGAGACCTCTGCTTAATTAAAATTTGATCTTCACTCTGAGTTATAAAACAATACTTGACAGCAGCAAAGGCAGGATGGCCGGTGTGAATCTACAGAGACAATGTAGGGAGATGTCCAAAGCAGAAAATTCCTTAATGACCACCTATCAGCAGACTTACTGGCCACAAATGATCATGGATTTTTTTTTTTATAACTAAAAAAAATGTTTTTCAGTTATAGGTGAAAAACTGAACATAAAAATCACCCAAGCCACTAAGACCTGTTAAAATATGCTTTATACCCATCTTGTGCTAGCACCTTAGTCTCATCAGAAACAGGTTTTCTACTGTTTTGCCCACCACCCCTTCCCCACAGATGTGGTATGTGGAACAAGATTACTGCCCCTTTAATTTTCCATCTTCTCTTCCAAATCTGATAAATGGCAGAATTCATGGCTCTGTCCAGAGAAGTACTTACGGTCCCCTTGCTATTTAACCCAAGGGAGATTCCACAGTCCTTACTGATGTCCATCACAGGTAAATAAAATTAATTATTTTTAGTGAACCTGTTTTAAAATTAAACCCAAAATGAGAAAAGTCTATATCTTAAGGCCTAAAACTGACTAAAATCTGTTAAAATGCTTTAAATAAATTTTAAATTAAAACAATTTAAATAAAACTGTCATATCAATTAGTTGTACTCAAATAATAAGTTAGAAATAGGTGGTTAGTTTTTTGTTGTTGTTTCTGGGGGGTTTTTTTTTTTTTACACAATAGCTTGAGAGAAAAAAAAATGGTCAGTTCAAGCTTCTAAAGTGTCATTATTACACACTGTCTTAATTATTTATATTGTGTTCCCTCTTTGCAATGAAACAAACTGGCTTTTACATTTAAGCTTGGGCTTAATTATTTCTGGTTTTAATTTATCCAGTAGGTGCAAAAAGGCTAATTTTGTTCATCTGACTACTTTTTGAAAGCTAAGTACTCAGTTGGCAGTTGAAAAAGCAGGAAAGCTTGTTTCTCTCTTCTAATCTATGAATAAGAATTAAGCAGGAGTGGATGAGATCAACTCCAAAAATTCAAAGGCCAGAGCCAGGTTATCTGTAGATACTTATGCATGTAAAGATGCAGGAAGGTGGCTGCTGGGATTTTCAAAAGTGCCTACACAAGTTATCCCTGCTGATTTCAGTAGGAGTTTGCCTACAGCAATAAGAAAACTCCACTGAATTATTCACCTACCCTGCTTAGGAACATTAGAAAGATCATTTAGAATGGACATCTAAATCTATGTCTGATAACCATGTGTCAAATTGGTCAATTCACTGATTACAGTTGATACTGATGGCTAGAAAATGGTATTTAAAGGTTTGCTTTTGGGAATTAGCTTGTAAGTAAAGTAGACACTGCATTAGAACAACAGTCCAGGGCAACAGCAAGGGTTAATTGATTTCTAAAAGCCTGTTTGTGACAAAGTTTTCTTCAAGGCCCACTGTGTCTAAAGCCAGCAGAGAGACAGGCTGGGAAACTGAAGACATGAACAGTTCCAAAATGCTACATTTCTTTTAAACAATGCTTTCACTGAAATGTCCAAAGTTGAAGCTTCTTGGTCATAGGTGTTAAATTGACCAGAAACCCCATTGCACTTGTTGTTAGCCACCAACTAATCCTTAATTAAAGGATGAATGGGGGAAAGTCAAAATCAGAAAAAGAATTATGTATTAACCCACTCTGCAAATCTATAAAGCCACATCTGCAAAGACATTCATTCCAAAATTACCAGGATTTAGAGAGCAGTTCATTTGCACAAAAATAAACCAAGGAGTTCTGACTCCCAAAAACTGAAGGCCCAATCCCAGACTGAATACTTCTGTTAGTTTAGAAAATATCAAATATGATAATACAAACCTCAAACCTCCTAACCTACTTACTAGTCTGTGCTACGGTTCTGGAATCTCCTAAACCAAACCACTATGGTTAACATTTAGTTCTAATCTGATCTGGTATAACGACAATGCATAGAAGACAGCTGTAAATTTTTGGACTCTTCCAAGACACCTTTTGTTCCTCAGAATAACTCCATGTCTTGTTCCCTATACAGGCACCTATCAATGTTTTGCATGTTGTATTAGTTTGTAGTCTACTACAAACTCCTGGCCCAGCTACAGAGTTTATTTTAGGAACCAGTTCAGAAGAACAATCTGCAGGTTTCAGACTCTGAAATTTTCAGGTTTGAGCTATATTACAAGCTTCTGCCAAGACAGCTGGCTTGGCTAGGAGCACAAAAACAACCATACTGTCTATTCATATTTTCCTAGTTGGTAGGGTTGGAAAGGACCTGAACAGACCAAGTCCGATGCCCTGCCATGGCAGGAAAGAGTACTGGGGTCAAATGACCCCGGCGAGGTGTTCATCCAGCCTCCTCTTAAAGACCCCCAGGGTAGGAGCAACACCACTTCTCTTGGAAGTTGGTTCCAGATCCAGTGTCTAGACTAGGGGTGGGTTAAATATGGCCCAGGTAAAATACGGCCCGGGGGACTGGATCTGGCCTGCCAGGCCATTCTATCCAGCTCATGGGGCCCCTAAAAATTTACAAAATTAATATTTATTTGCTCCTAAGTGCCTGTCAAAGATGACAGGAGCCAGGGGCAGTAGGACCCAGAGAAAGCTGGTGGCAGGCCCCAGCAGCAAGGCCTGCCTAGCCCTGCCCCCCCATCCAAAAACCCCTGCCAAGCAGAGACTTCAGCACAGGGAAGTAGGAAGAGCCCCATCGTCCCAGACCAGGAGAGGAAAATGTGGCCATCAACAGTTTGCCAAAACTTGGTAAGCAGCCCTCCACCTGAAACAACTGCCTGCCCCTGGTCCAGACAATACAAATATGTAGATAGAACCCAAAAAAGAGTTATCTTGTTGCTTGTCTTGTGTTGTTCAGAGATATGATACAAGTACACCAACAGAAAAACTCCTGCCAGCAGATGCGGTGTCTCCATTAAGGGGCCGTACAAGCACAGTAGAGGCTATCATGGTACAAAGGGTTTTCTTAAGTAAGAAGTGAGCTGGACAGAATACAATACTTATAAAAGTTTAGCACACATGCAGGCCCTATAACCTCTGTTCGATTAAAGAATATTCGGATAAGAATGTAGGCAGCTTAATGTATGGAAATAGCTAGGCCTCAGGGTATCACTCGAAGTTTAGGGAGAAAGTAAAAATATAAAAATGAAATAAAACTATCAGAGGTTCTTGCTCATTAAGTTTAACTCATTTTCCCTTACCTCTTAATAACTGTGTTATTTCCAAACTTCTATTTTAAGCATATCTGAAAACCTGCTTCATGTCTGGGGCACCACACACACAACAGTGCATAGAAGCAACATATATATGAAATATTTCTAACAAAATAAGGATTTGTGTGGACAATAGTTTATTGGACCAAGTGCTTGGTTGCAATAAACATAGGCAAGCTTTTGAATGTAATGCATTTTTCTTTAGGTCTAGCAAGAGAACACATCTCTCTAAGGGTTCTGAAGAACGAAGAGTACGTGTCTCATCACTGGAGTTTCGTGTAACAGTAAAATTAAATAAATGCAGTTTTAGATTTAGTCTATATTGCAATCTGTATGCACACAAACAGTTTAGATAGATTAAAAATATAAACTTCAAATATAACCATTTATACAAAAACTTGTGTGAAGTCATTTCAAAGAAGCTACTTCAAAGCTAGAGCTTAGTTGGCATAATGGTACAATACCTTGAATAACAATTCTTGTTTTGGTTAATTACCTGTTGATCTGTTGATGTACGTTGCTGAACTGCATCATGGCTCACGGAGCCTTTTTTGGCTTGTACCCTGCCAGGCGGGGGGGGAATTACACCTGAATATGAGGCTGGATTATCAGCATCTGAAGCATACGAGGCTGTATGTCTCGATTCTTGTTCATTCTTTGACACAACAAACCTAGGAAGAGGGAGGTCTTTGACTGTTAAAAAAACACAAACAGGAAAGGAATGAATAGTAAAGGTATTTTTAACCATATAAAATTTTACTGCTTAAAAATTAAAGCATAGTTCTAATCTAAAAGATAATATGAGGTCTTGCATCTGTCTCAATGACTTAAATAAATTTGACATAATTTACAAACTCAACCAAAGATCTGAAAACCCCAACAGACTTTTTTGGATCATCTACCACTAGTTTTAAGATTCTGCAGCACAAATTCCATCTTTATTATATGCATGTGGCCACCCTTTATGATTGTGTTTGTAAAGTGAGAAGAGGAGTTTGTTCCTACAACTCTGATTTGGTTGTTAGACTGTACTGAAATACAAGCCAAAATAGAATCCAGCTCATTCTCTCAGCTGTTTTGTTGTGGGGGGTTTTTTTTTTGTTATATTCAGATTTAAGATGGTCTCCAGCACAATCTCTGGGCATGCTTAAGAAGCTCTTCAAGTCCCTGTATTCAGGGTGCGTGACCTGAGAAATAAAAAAGTTAAAACCCTCATTAAAGCAATTAAATACAACTAAATACACCAGAAAACTAGTGAGAAGTAGCATCACTTTAGAAGCCATAGTTGCACTTATTTTTCAAACTAAGTGTTAAGCATTCTTTTATATTAATACATAGGTAGTCAATAAGCTATTTTATTGGATATTAACTAAGGGCATTCAGTGATAGTCTTTTAGCAGTAAATTAAAAGTTTAAATAATCTACACCTGCAAAATTTTTACATCAAACTAAATCCACAGCCTTACTACAACTCAGCCTGAAGCAAACTTTTTACTAACCAGCTGGAATGCTATCTAAGTCAGGGATGTAAATGGTTAAGTGACAATTATATTTATACACTTTATTGCTTACTGTTTAAGTAACCTCCAGCAGGAATGGCCCAGGCCCCAGGGCTATTCCTGCTGGAGGTCACTACACTTGGTACAGTAAAAGTTCTGTTATCCGGCATCTTACAAGCCGGCATGCTCCACTAACCAGCATGCCGGCTTGTAAGATAAAGTGAAACCAGAAGTGCCTACTGTGGCACTTCCGGTTTCTCCAGGCGCCCACGGCCCGGGACAAAGCAGCCTGCACTGCCGAGCCCTCACGGCCTGGGGGCACAACAGGCTGTGCAGGACCCGCCTCCCTGTCAGCGATGCCATGGGAGGGGTGGATGGATGCCCCAGACGTGGCGCAAGAAGTGGCAGCCAGGGCTGCTCAATTAACTGACATATTAGGTTGTCCAGCATCCCCCATTCCTGAGGGATACTGGATAACAGAGCTTTTATTGTATATGTTATTGGTTATCTGTTTAACCGATATAATTAGAGGAAGTTAAACAGATCATTTTAAACCATATTGACATATCTAACTTACATTTATTGTTCAGACAGCTATACCATTCATCTGAATATTGATCTCATTAGTGCATTTATCAAATTAAATTCTGCAGTTATTTTTTGCAAAGTTATTTGCAAAGTATTCTTCTAACACCAAATGACTAGAAGAACAGTCCACTTAGTACATTAATTTTTACAGGAATTAATTTTGCTCACACTCATGTATGCCCTTCATAGATGTTATTTTTGTAGTGCTACAAAATTTGCAACAGTACAGAAAATAGAGCAGTCTGGGCAGGCACACATGAACAGCCCCCCTTGGTTGAAGGGTACCCAAAATTTCCAGTAAGGTGTGCACTGAAAATACTGAGCAATAGTGTGCTGCTGCACAGTAAGCTGTATGATCCTTCCCAAAGCCTGCCATGCCACCAACAGGGCCTGTCAATGAGCCAGAAAGAGGCGATTGAGACCACCACTGACACGGCATTCCCCAGGCCCAAGCAACCTTTAAAGTTTTGCTGTCTCCTTGATCAGCTGTTGCTGGGATCTTTGAAGGGCACCTGCAGGCAGTCAAGGCCTGGGCAGCACTACAGCAGCAGCATTCTCTGGTTTTGGACTGCTTGCCAGCCCTTCAAAAATCCACACTTGCAGGCAGTCTGAGATCTAGTAGGGTAGCCCCCAGGCCTGGCTACACTTTTTACCAAGCTCCAACGTTGGTGACAGAGCGACCCAAATCCTGCTGGTCGGCTTGCTAGAATCTTGAAAAGGTGCAAGGGCAGTCTGGGACTGGGGATCACCTGCCTCCGCAGTGTTTCCCAGTGCAGAGTTGCCATTCTCAGTGCATAAAAGACACACAGAAAGCTCAGGACCAGAGCGCGCTGGTGGGGCACAGATCAGTGGGATCATGCAGAAGCAGCTTGCTAGACTCTGACAGTTTGCAGCAGACCAGATGTTAGGCAACCAGCCACTCTCACCCTCTCCTCCTTGAAGCAGCAGGTAGGGTTTCAGACATTACTGTAACCATCCAGACCTTAAAATTGTCAAGGTACCATAAAGAAATTGCTGTTTCAACCAACAACTTCATGAGGGCAGATTTACCATGTTTGTGGCAGATCTGTTATTTTTATCCTTCAGCTTTAATGTCTGGCCAGTCATGACTTGTTGCAGGGAACTTGTATATAGACTGTGACATATGCAACATCTGCCAGAGCACTCCAGTACAGTGAGTGCCACAGCTGCCATGGTCAGTTCCCATTCCCAAAGCCTCCACAGTTACAGTCCTAGCCCAAAACAGACCCTGCTGCCTGCACACCCTGCAGCTCTTTATCCAGCATGTTGTACTCCTGCCAACACACAGTCAAACTTGCTACTACTTCTTTGGCAAGCTAGTTCAGTTTTTATGAGGGCTGGCATGCAACACTATGCACACATGTGACTAAGGCCCTGGCCACGAGTGCCCCTGAGCTCTGATCTCTGTTCCTGTCCCCCAACAATTACATGGCCAATGAAGACCATGCCATGTTGGCATTAGATGCTTGATGATCACTTACAGACTGTATACTGGTGGTCTGGGGCATGCAACATGAGCACTAATCGCTGGGAGTACTTACTCTTAAGTACCCCAGACAATGAAGAGTAGCAGCAGAGCTTCAGGATATGCCTCTGTGAAGATATCCAACTGAACTGGTCCTCATCCTCACATGACAGAGTATCAACATAAGGGCACCCTTCCTCGTGGATAAGCGCATCACCACTGTCATTGCCAGCTGGATGTTCTCAATGCCTAGCAGTCTCCAGTCTGTCACCAACCAGTTCCATGTGGGCAAGTCCACAGCAGGAGATGCAGTACAGAAGGCATTCGTAGCTATATGGTGGGTGCCAACACCATGATTCAGTCTCCTCCGACAGGAGGTTGGTAGCAGAGGGAGAGTGCTACCACCCTTGTAGTGACTTTAAATATTCTGTGCTTGCACACTGGCATGAGCCCTCAGTCTTGCAGCCCCAAACCCCGCCCCCCCCCCACATACACACCCAGAGGAGCCAAATACAGTTAATATACAATGCTCCTGTGGGACTCTGCTGCTTCCATGGCTTCATAAGTGATGCTTAACAGTCCATTCAGCCCAGCTGCAGCCTTTTCCAATTACTGCAGCCATAAATTGCACTCAGCTGATCTTTGAGCCTACACTCAACCTGAGCTTGTAGATAAGGCTAGAGATGCTGATGGGATATAAACAGATATTAATAGTGAATAAGAAACAGATTTGCAAGGTGGATTCAAGCTGCGTTTTCCAGATGATGGTATAGGACTGAATTCAAAGTAATTTGCCACTGTGATTCAGTTACAAGAATTGGCAAAACAATCACCAGAGGCAACTCAAATTGGGTAAACTTTGGAAATGGTTTGAAATCTGCTTTCATGCAGACTGCAAAGGATTTTAAATCATGTGCATAAACAATGATGACAGCACTCACTGGCAAGTCTGTGTGCACTTGGTTCTTCCTCCCTGGGGCAGCTGATTTTGGTGTTAGTCACAAACAGACTCCCTGTAGACATGAGGTAGGGGGTGAGGAGGAAAACCTTCTGGGATGCTGGAGGACCAAGCCACTCCCTGCAGCGCTAATGTGTTATATGTGGCACTAGAAATGTTATATTGCCAAGAAGTTCCTGTTTAAAAGAGGCAACATTTCACAGCATTTTTGCCACATTTTTTGAGGGACAAACTGCTCGGACAGCTCTCCACCTGCTTTCTGCATCACCAAAAAGACATATCTAGCATTAGAAATGTAATGCCTGGCCATAACCCCAGAGTGATGTTGGAGCAACACCTAAACCACATCTAAGGCCCAATTTGCTAGGCATCTTTTGAGCATATATTTACCTCTAACTTAGTCACCTGATAAAGGCGCAACTGGAAGAAAACATATCCTCCTCCATCCCTGGCAAGCACTACATGCCCCCCATAAAAGAGAACAATGAGAGGCATAAAGCAATCATGAATCTGAAAATGATAGACTGCTGTGATAAATTAATTATTTGTAGGGTAGTTGGGTATGCTGGTTAAGAGCTTATGTGGCATAGGATAAGCTAGGGACAACTGGGAAAGTAAAACAGTATGGGGAAGTGGATCTATAAATACCTCAGATCAGAAGGGATTTCTTGGTTAGGCAGAGAATGGGCTGTGGGTTACCTGTAAACAGAAGTAGATACGGAAGGCACTATACCATGATTCACAATAGTTTTGGTGTTGCTTGATCTTATGCCTTGAAAGGAAGAGGAACTAGCCCCTGAGCCCCAGGGGGCCCCAGCCCAAATCTTCCTCAACTATGGCCCTGTCCTAAAGTCAGCTTCAAACACTGTTTAGTTTACACCAATCTACCTCCCAGATATTCTAAGCAGAAAAATACAGCAAACATCATTGCTTTGTTGGGGTTGGGTTTTTTTTTTTTGGGGGGGGGGGGGGG